ATATCCCCTATGAAATGTTACTAAAAATCAGTTCTTCATATCACCTGGTATTATTCTGATCTGCCTATAATTTGAATCTGGTATAAAGTTATTATGGCACTAAGAAAAGCCCCAGTATAGAAAATTGCAATACTAAATACAAAGGAGTTTTTTAAAAATTAAATTAATAATAATTAATTTGATATCAAATGCAGTGATCAGAATACTTTGTATGTATTACCTTGTGTAACACTCGTAAGAATCCTGAGATACTTTTATTAATTTGAAGAAGAAGCTGAGACAAAGAGAAGGTAAGAAGCACACCTGAGGTCACAGTGTTCTTAATAATTGTTGATTGAACAGATAATTTATTGGGATAGGAATTTTCTGGTTCTAGGATGTTGGAAGTAGGGCTTAGTGGCCACTAACTGTGCTTCACCCAGATCCCTTCAGCCCCTCCTCCTGCACCTTTCTCTGTCTTTAATGTGTTTTTGGCCTCCAACAGCTCACACAAGTGGGATTCTTTCCCCGATGACTGCCCTGGGCTACTGCACATAATGTGCTGGCAGCCATAGAAAGCTAGAAGCGTTTGGGGGTTCTACCCACCACCAGAAACTCCCAGCCCCTGCCTGGATATAAATTGATGGATCCAGGAGTATGAACACCCAGTCCCTTGCGGTGGATTGGAGAAAACTCCAAAGGATAACCCATGTTCCAGAGATCTTGTGGAATAAGGTTGACGTTATCCTCCAAAGAACTTCCTCTGAGGTTACACCCATGCACGGCTTCCTACCTTTCCTTGTTCTGTGTCAGTTTCTCTTGATAGCATCTCCTGAATAAGCCACTTGTACATGAATTCCCACTTCTGGGTCTACCTCTGGGAACGCAATGTAAGACAAACCCCTTGGGAATTATTACCAAAACATCATACATTCTTAATATCCTAAAACAACCTTCAATATAAGTATTGCTCTTATTTAATATTCAGAGTATGCCTGGGGATTACAATGTGATATGGACAGAAATATTCTTATTTTGAAGATGTTATCATTCTGGTCCATGAGGAATCTTCTTCCAGAAAAGACATTCACTTCAGGAAAACGTATGCATTTCCAGTTTGGTCTCTACTGAAGGCACAGTAAAAAAGATTAGCCTTTATGGACTTGTAAATTTTGAAGTATCTGGTGTTATAAGACTTTACGAGAAAATAATAGCCACTTATAACACTTTTCCACTCGGCTGTAATCAAGACTGCATAGTCTTTTCTTAGTTACTCTGAAAAAGGGAATTTTATTTCTTTCTAAGGAGTCATTCATTTAAAATAATAATAGTAAAAAATAAAGCTCCAAAGAGCTTAAACGGTGAATGTATTAACCCCTTTCCTCCCTGCATATTCCTTTCCCTTGGAGTTCTTATGTTTTTTCTGAGAATTTGTCCTTTTAAAAAAATACATTTGTGTAAGTCAATTCTAAAAACGGTACAGATTAAAAAAATGAACAGTCTCTCTCTTTGCATAAATGGGACAAAAGCAACCACAGAAACACAGAGGATGCAGAGGAATATGTATTCATGGGGTTGAATCCTCCCCTCCTCAAAAAAAAGCCCGGTTGGCTGGGTGCAGGATCCCAACAAGGTAAGGTGGAACACCAGGTTGGAATCAGTGGTTGAAAGTCCTGAATGCTGGGCAGGAGTTTAGATATTATTCTTAATGTATGTGTGTATGTGTTTTTAATAGAGGTGCTGGGGATTGAACCCAGGACCTCGTGCATGCTAAACATGTGCTCTACCACTGAGCTATACCCTCCCCTCTAGATATTATTCTTCTGGGATCCAGGGAGTACCCAGGTTTTTGCACAGGGAAGGTAAATAAACACCTGTTGTATAAAGATTAGTCTGGAGGGATGAATTAGAATGAGACAGTTGGAGAGGAGATGTTGGAGGCAAACTATTCAGAAAATATTATACTGTGCACATATCATTGAATAAGACTTCAGTTGAGTTGGTGGCCAAAAGGATGGAAACAAAGGGACAGACATCAGAGATGTTGTTCAGGAAATTCAATATAATATGGGGCCTCTTTGAATATGGACATGTGGAAAAAGGAGAGATGAAATTATAGTGGGTGGCTGAATAGAAAAATTGTGATATTGTAAGATCATGTGAATTTGCCTTAAGTCATCTTTATCTCATCCCAACCAAGAGAGGTATAACGGACCAGTGCTGAATATGGACGTCCAGGGCCATGGAGCCCAGGGGAAACAGCGGGGAAAATGAGGAGCCACTTCATCTCAGACAGGAAGTAAGAAATGCAAAATTGTTGCACTGTAGAGTCAGGTGAAACTTCAGGTTTGTTGTCTGACTTTAAATCAGGTCTGTATGAACAAGCAACCTTCATTTCAATATTATGTTTGAAAATTGAATTCAGTGTGGAAACTTGATAAAGCTTTTAAAAAGTTAAAAAATATAATACCCACGAGCTTCTTCCTGCACACACACTAAATTACTCTATGCCATTTAATTTATAATTAGGTTTGCAAGTCTATCACTTTAAAGGTTGACTATTTTCTGTAATGCAGTTGCTTAGAAGATTTGTTTTGCAGCAGAATTCTTATTTCAAACAAAAATTGCCCTTAAAGCATGTTACATACAAATCAGATGAAAACAGAATTGCTGTGCCTGATCTGGGGAGAGGGATGGGCAGTGAGTGGATCTGAAGATGCTTCTGCACTCCCCGCCCACCCCACCCCAATTTCCC